TGTGTTGAAATAAATATTCAATACAATGACACACTGAGCAGATCTAAGAGAAGGTAACTTATTTGAGCTTTGCTTGGCATTGATTGATATGTTTTATGGGTATAAAGGCAATGGGCTCATCATGTAGCTATAGGATGCTTAATGTCATTATGGTCCAAGCTACACGTGTTCTGCGTGAATTATACGGGATTATTGCTACACCAAGGTTTGTAAATTAAATTGGGCTAAAATCGCAGATTTGTTTCCAGCTTTTGTTTGTCATGTTTCAAATGTTTAAACTGGGTTTTGACCACAACTTGCTGTTTAGTGTCAATAATCATCTTATTGCCAGGGATTTAACAACCAATCTATTTATGGGTATTGTATGCAAAATGTTACTGTAATATGTTCTATGTAATATCTGTTCAGATGGTGACAAACTGTGTGCTCCATTAGTCAGTGTGAGGATAGTGTGAGACTGTGAACCATCAGTCAGGAAAAGTGTAGAAGAGACTGTGTGATCCATCAATTATGGGAAGGATGGTGACAGACTGTGTGCACCATCAGAAAGGAAAAAGATAGAGTCAATGTGCACCATCAGTCAGGGAAAGAATAGTGATAGCCTTTTTGCACCACAAGGCAGGGAAATTATTGTGAAAGACTGCCACTTGTAAACATTATTGTGAAAGACTGCCAAAAAACCATCAGTCAGTGAGAGGATGTGTGCACCATCAGTTAATGAAAGCAAAGTGATAGACTGTGTGCACCAATAGTCAGGGAAAGGATAGTGATAGACTGAGTGCACCATCAGTCAGGAAAAGGATAGTGGTAAACTGTGTGTACCATTAGTCAGGGAAGGGATAGTGATAGACTGTGTGCAACATCAGTCAGGAAAAGAATAGTGGTCATCTTTGTGCAACATCAGGCAGGGAAATGATGGTGATAGACTGAGTGCACCATCAGTCAGTGATAGGATTGTGAGAGGATGTGTGCACCATCACTCAGGGAAAGTGTAGTGACTAGTGAGAGACCATCAGAAAGGAAAAAAATAGAGACTGTGTGTACCATCAGTCGGGGAAAGGATGGTAATAGACTGTGTGCACCATCAGTTAGGGAAAGGATAGTGATATACTGTGTGCACCATTAGTCAGGGCAAGAACAGGGACAGGCTGTGTGCACTAACAGTCAGAGAAAGGTTAGTTAGAAACTGTGTGTGCCATTAGATTGGAAAAGGAGAGTGGTAGACTATGTGCACATATGTCTGGCACAGATTGTTGTTTGTGTACAATATGTGAACCAAAAAGTTATAGTTAATGCATGAAGTTTACATAACTTGTTTTACATTATGTTCTATCCCTCTGTGCACCAACAGTCAGGCAATTCTAATGACAATGTGAGTGTGCCATGGGTGAGAGGGTGTGTGCCCCACAATTCAGAGAAAGGAACAAGTGAGAGTTTTATACATCTTGTCTAACTGTTGGTTCCCACAGCCGGGAGTTCGTACACAGCAACAGTGAGGATACTTTAACAATGAATGTAGGGTAAAAGCTCCAGCATTCTATTCTGCTGCTTACATTGGTGACATGAAGTGCGTTATTGTGGCTGTATATCTGGATTTGTTGTCCATTCCTCTCTTTGGTGCCTTACATACCTTTATAGGGCAGTTGTGTATTATTCATTATGTTTAATTATCCACCCTTTGTTCTATGCCTGAATTCCACTCTCCCTGGTCTTTCTATAATTACTTCTATAACTGGCCTTGTTCCAGCTCATGATTCCCTTTTTCAATCCCCTACTGCTGTGTATGATGGAGGTTCTAGATCACTGGATTCCAGTGTGAAGACTGCACACTCAATCACACATCCAATGTCACCCTGCAAACCCCGCTCCAGAAAACGTTTTGAGCACATTAAATCCTTCCAGGACTCGGTCAGTCCCTCTGGGAGCCGTCCTGTGCCCTACTGCAAGAGGGAAAAAAACAACGTTTCACTGCTAATTACAAATAAATGATGATGTGCTCACTAAGTAATTGATTTAATGAAGTTCCTATGAAACTATTAAAATCGAGAACAGGCCGGCCTAGAGACGCCCCAGAGAGCCCATTGTTGGATGTTTAACTCCAGAGGTCTCTTGGGAAAGACATCAGGGCTAATAGGTGAAGTCACAGCTGTTCTGATCTGACTTCTTCTGCTGGGAAAAGAAATCTCTGGCCAAACTTGCAGGCTGGACCATTGAAGCAGCTCCTCATTAGGAGTGCATGCCTGTGTGCTGGAGCTCCAGAGTGTGCTTGGGGAGAGGGGTGCATGTGGGGAGACAGGGGGAAGGGAGGACAAAGGTGGGGAGTGAATAGGGGGACCTGTTGTACGGGCTGAATTCTGCTCAGCCATTCAAGATTCTGCAATTTTTTGGGGAAATACTGGCACTGCCACTTGCTTGAAGAGGGGTAGAGGAATAATAATAAATAAATAATAATAATACAATACTGCAATCATCTGCATTAAATCCATATCTATCTCACGCTTTGAACTGTGAAACTTACTGTAAAATTATTTACACAATTATCTCTCTCTAGCTCTGCAATAGTTAATTTTATTTGTATTTATTTATTTTTAATTACTGCTCCTAATCATTGTAGTGCTGCATTACCATCTCTGCTGGCTGCCCTGCACGGTATCACCTACCTCTGTTCTCCCTGACTCCCAGGCCGGAATCCCATCCACATTCAGTTCATGGACTGTCCTCCCCAGCTTCATGCCGGCTGCACCCTCTGTCATCCGACCAGTCTGTCAGTGTGCCATGCTGGGTTGGCACGGTGCCTGGCATTAGTGTGTGCCCATTCCACTTCTTCTAAGGACACGCTGCGAATCTCTTTCTAGGACTGAATAAAGCAGAGAGCTGCTCACAGTAACGGGGAAACACATTAGTTACAAGGCAGATCGCTTCACTTTGTCACATTTGCCTTACTGGTTCTAGTAAATAACCCATGCAGTGATTCTGTGTCCTGGATTCTTAGTAATACATGTATTACAGGAAATAAAATACAGCTTGTTCTTTATTGACTGACAATTATACTACTCTGTCCGTCTCTCTCATCCATCATGACTTGCTCCGATTATCTGTTATATATAAATAGATAGATCATTTATAGATAGAATATCTATCTATACAGTATGCTATCTGTCTGTCTGTCTGTCTATCTACCTAGATATGCATACAGACAAAGGAATCTGCTCACAAATATTTCATTCCAGAGTTACCATTTGATCTGGGAATGTAGGCCATATTGGCAGAGTTTGGAAAAAGCACCCCAACTCACCCTAGCTGGAGACAGACTCTGGGCACCTCGTGGAGATGCCAGTCACACACAGTACAAGCAACTGGCATTAATTCTGTACACCCATGTGCCCAAGTCCCAACAGGCCATCTATGTCCCTGTCCATGTCTACCTACGTGACTGCTTGGTCTGGGGTTACCTGAGGCTGAGGTTTTAATCTAATATTTTACAGGAACATTACAGCAGTCTTGTATAATATGCTAGTAGCAGATATGATTACTGTAATATCATTTATTCACAGGAGAGGGCTGCAGAATTCAATGTAAGGTTTAAACCAGTCTGTGTCAGAAAACTCAGAAATGACTCGTGTATAGCTATAGTATTAATTGATTAACCAAAAAGTGAAGGTTGGAAGAGATCAGAGGCCAAGACTTAACTGGAACATCACAGGCTTCTAAATATTGTAGATGACAGCTCTGCAGGGAGGGATTCTTTTCTTTTGTAATTTGATTTTGAGTATTGAATTTCAAATGTAAGGCCAATATAGCTGAACTAGAAAAATCAGCTATACTTCCAGTCCAAATACTCTGGCCTTAAATTTGAAATGCATTTTGTATTCTCACTTTAGTAAATAACCCTATTAGTTCATCTTTTGGTTTTCTACAGTAGGAAGCTGACTATTGAACTGCAACTCCCAGAAACACTGGCGGTGCCCATAAAGCATGGTATGGGATAAACTCGAGAGCTAGAGAAGATTGAGTGTCCTGACATTCAGCCACATCCTGGTGTTTCTGAATAGCTCACTGCAAATCCTCCAAAACCTTATGATCTGCAGCAAAAACTAACAGGAACTTCAGATGTGAGTATATTTTGTAGGTTTGATAATCTTTCTTATATTAATGTTGCATGTATTTTGAGAGCATGGCATGACTCATAAATAGTTTGCAGACTCCAACCCCTAGTGTCCCTTTAATGAACAGGATTCCCAAACCAATGTACAAACTCTGAGAGCGAATCTAAATAAAGACTTGAAGGGTCAGTGTCCCCCAACAAACCCCTTTGTATCGCTTTTTAGTGGAAACGTAGGCACAACGCTGATAATGCTACCTTTCTCTGAGCTAGAACAAGGTGCCCACTGCTAGGGAAGTAAACCCCTCTAGGCAAAGGAACCAAAATGACATCTAACATTTTCCTAACACAACTGTATTAACAAGAGAAGCCTTTAAAGCAAACAGCACACAGACATGGACACATGAAAACACATCAGCATTGTTTAGAAGGCAACTCTCCCTGCCCGAGTCCAGCAGCTATTTCTATAGCACACTTCTCATTTCATCTGATTCTTGTGAAGAGGGGGTCAAAGAGTGCAAGGTTGGGTCCAGCAATTGTGGAATGGTTAATCACTAAACAGCATGTGTTTCGTGAATTGCATGATGTACATTCAAATAATTCATCTGAAAAAAAAACAAAAAAAAAAAAAAACCTACAGATGTACTGTACAGGAGATTTCTGATTTTACCTTTTTTTTAGTCTGATCTGAACACATGTCAGAATTTAGTGGATAGTCTGCATAGCCTCCCAGACATGGCACAGTGTCAAGTCATTTCAAAACCTCTTCTAAATAGCTTCCAATCACTGTCACACCAAAACAAGGACTGGATTCTAAAGCTGCCAGCCTTGGTACTAGCCAAGTAGACTGTTTATAGAAAGATTTGAATGGCTTCAAATAAACACGATTTAATGTGCAATAACTGCATATGGGTTTTAACAAATAATTATTACAAACAACTGCTGTTTGTTTGCTTCGTTGCTTCTTCTAATACTTACACCCAAAGGATGTCCACCCACAATATCTTAAAGATAAACGCATCATTTATAAAAAATAAAAAAAATTAATAAGAAAAAAGTATTAATATTAATAACACACACACACACACACACACGGAGTTTTATTTTATGATATGATTTATATCGTTATTAAAGAGTCATAAACAAACACTTGATTTTCATGTCATAATTTTTATTTAAATTTTCTTTTGAAACTCTATCAGTTTCCATTCTCCCCACAGACGAGCTCCTTCTCCCCTGTATTTGGACATTTTGGAGTTACACACCCCTGACTCTACATTCCTAAGGACATTGCATTTTAATAGTGTGTTTGTTTGGTTTTAGCTCAGCCAGAATAGAAATATTGTATTCATTTAGATTTGCTTTGTTTAACCACAATGACAATTTATTTATTTTGTTTTAAAGTCCCCCCCAAAAATGACAAATAACACATTGGGGGCTGCTCATTAAAACAATGTGGGTTTGGAAAAATATCTCTATTTTAGCCAACTTTATTTATTTCCAGATATTTTTTAGTCACTATTACTAGACAGCTGCCACCATAGTTCAACTGACTGCTTAGTAAATAACCCCCAGAGATTTCCCTCTTTAACTAGTATATTCTGGAGACCAATGCTGTGCAATTTCTGATTGATGTGGAACAAATACAAAAGTTAGTGATACAATATCAGCCACGGTTTAACATTTCAGTGTCAGGTGCCTTATTTCTAAAAATGCTTTCATTTCAGGTTTGTCAACAGACAAATGAAACTTTCTTTCTATGACTTGACTAGTCCATTGGTCACAGGGCTGTCCATTCTTGGCCCTTGCTTGATGACTTCTGATATTGGCTGAGGATGCTGGGTGTTTTTGCTAAATAACTTAAACCCTGGGTTCGAGTTTAAATATTACGTTATACATAGACATCAGTAGTTGCAACTGAGTGCTATATACTGACAAAAGGTTTTTTTTCAAATAAACAGTAGACAGGACACCTGGGGCCAAAATTACTGAGTTGAAAAGATGTATCTCTGATGTTGAGCAAATTGGGCTTTAAATTTGTTCACTGATCACTTTTAATAACATTCTGACAGGCGTATTTACTAAGGTGAGATTTCAAATGAAAAAGAAAATGTAGAACTGGAAACATTTTTAAAGAAAGTTATTCACTAAAGTGAGGATTTCAAATTAATTTCAAATTTAAGGCTAAAATACCTGAACTGGGAAATATCTCTAAGCCAGCTCAAATTTAAAATTCTCTTTGAATTATATTTATTCCAATTCACTACTTTGGGCTTAAAATTTACTTTGAATTCACTGTAAATTCTCACTTTTGTTAATTAACCTTTTATATATACTCCTGTGTGTGTTCTATGCATGCAGACATTACTATTGGTTATAGATATGCTACTATGTATACATGTAGAATGATAAAGTATATCATGATATATATATATCTTTGTGCAGTTATCTTTATAACATGTAGTTTTCTGAACATCACTGCAATTATATATTATGGGGTTTTACATCTGGTTTGAAGTTGGGAGCAGGAGACGTTTTATGAACACATTACAAAGCATTTCATTTTCTTGTCTGGTCCCTTTAGGAAATACATGTGTAAACAAATAGTGAATTAGCCAAATGTAACCCAAAATCACACATAGACTTAATACAGGTGAAACCTTACAGCAATTGTATATGTGCTGTATCCCACAATTGCTACTAAGAACAACACTACTCTTGTACACATCTATAAGGTAATTACATAATCCAGGGGCAAAGACAGATAGATAGAGACAGATGAATAGGGAAAAATGGCGAGGGAGGGGGAAAGGATGAATTTGATAGGTAGAGACAGACAGACAAGGAGAGGCACAGAGAGACAGACAGACAAGGATAGAGACAGACAGACAAGGAGAGGGACAGAGAGACAAACAGACAGACAATGAGAGAGACAGAGAGACAAACAGACAGACAAGGAGAGGAACAGAGAGACAGGTGGAGAAGGACAGAGAGGCAGACAGACAAGGAGAGGAACAGACAGACAAGGAGAAAGACAGATAGAAAAGGAGAGGGACAGAAAGACAGACCGACATCGAGAGGTACAGACAGACAGACAGACAAGGAGATGGACAGAAAGACAGACAAGGAGAGAGACAGACAAGGAGAGGGACAGACAGACAAGGGAGGGAACAGACAGACAGACAAGGAGATGGACAGAAAGACAGACCGACAAGGAGAGGTACAGACAGACAGACAAGGAGAGGGACAGAAAGACAGACAAGGAGAGAGACAGACAGACAAGGAGAGGGACAGACAGACAAGGGAGGGAACAGACAGACAAGAAAAGGGACAGAAAGACAAGGAGAGAGACAGACAGACAAGAAAAGGAACATACAGACAGACAGACAAGGAGAGGGACAGAAAGACAGACAGGGAGAGCGACAGACAAGGAGAGGGACAGAGAGACAGACAGACAAGGGGAGGGACAGAAAGACAGACAGGGGATTGAGAGAATGTAATGACACTGTCCCTTTAGCTGTATAATGGGAGAGTCACAAAGTGACAATGACTTTTGTGAAAGGGATGAAGCAATCAATCCATGCACTCTATAGCAGTGGGTTTGAAGCTGAGTGACAATGCTTTCTATAAAGGATACATTGGTCCAACACACACCAGCCTCTATCAAGAAAGCAGGAGCTGAGTCAAGCTGGATGTGTTTCCCCCTGACTTCTTTTCTGTCCTTTAACAGAGGCGTCTGCAAGTCTGAGCTGGGAAGTTACTGATTTGCAGGCTGCATGTTAAAGCGGTCCGTGTAAGCGGCTGCTAGGGCCATCCCAGCACAGGAGAACAAATCGCTGACAAAAGAGAGAGATTTCAATTCAGCAGCGTCGTTAGGGCAACCGAAAACTATTCCTCCTACAATAAGTTCCACTTCAAAAGCCTTCTCATTGAGCACTGTCTGCCGCTCACTTTTATTAAGTCAGGGGTTTTCACTCCTAGGAGTCATCTGTTTGCCTATTTTTCATGGTGTTTATTTTTCACTATTCATTCTGTACTTGTATTAAATAAACAGAGGACAATTGCTCTCCAAGTGACACACTGCTTAGGGGGATAGGGGGACCCTGATATTTAGTAGGGGTGATTGATGTGGGGGGAAGGTAATGGGGCAGGGTGTAAGGGTCCGAATGGAATGGGACTGAGGCCAACATTCTAAGAGGTTCTGATGAAGTGAAAATTGACTTAACTAACAGGCATGAAAGTAAAGGTCAAGGCAACTGTATCTTAATAGAGTGTCTCAAATCGAGGTGCAGGGCTCAGAATGCAGCTTGTTGTGGTTGAGCTCATTGCCATAGCAATCCAAAGGCTTCTTGTTGATGTACCATAAAGAAGTACTTTGAATTTCAAAGTATCCGTCTTTGAACTTCTCCCTCCTGATTACACACTTACGTTGTGGTTGTAAGTGCCTGTGAATTGTGTGCATGGTTGGGGGGGTGAGGGTGGGAGTGAATCCATTTTTACAAGCCAAAGATGCCTGCGCATGCGCTGCGCAACACCAGCATAGCAATATAAATCTATCGCCTATCTATCTGTATCTCCAATTTTATTCACTCACATTCATCTCTCTGAAAGGGTTAACAGAGCTATACCGCAAATCTCTAACTTTTTCCAAGGACAAAGCTACTTCACTTAGAATAACAATTCTTGTACTTTAAACCAGCTCCAGCAGTGCTATGTGTTCACAAAATGTGTGCCATGCTATTGTAAAGTTCACAATGTGTGTCCCATGCTATTATAAAGTTCACAATGTGTGTGCCATATTGTTATAAAGTTCACAATGTGTGTACCATATTGTTATAAAGTTCACAATGTGTGTTCCATATTGTTATAAAGTTCACAATGTGTGTGCCATATTGTTATAAAGTTCACAATGTGTGTACCATGTTATTAAGTTCACACTGTGTGTGCCATGCTATCATAAAGTTCGCAATGTGTGTTCCATATTGTTATAAAGTTCACAATGTGTGTACAATGTTATTATAAAGTTCACAATGTGTGTACCATGCTATTATAAAGTTCACAATGTGTGTGCCATATTATTATTAAGTTCACAATATGTGTGCCATGCTATTATAAAGTTCACAATGTGTGTACCATGTTGTTATAAAGTTCACAATGTGTATACCATGCTGTTATAAAGTTCACAAAGTGTGTACCATGCTGTTATAAAGTTCACAATGTGTGTGCCATATTCTTATAAAGTTCACAATGTGTGTGCCATATTGTTATAAAGTTCACAATGTGTGTTCCATGTTGTTATAAAGTTCACAATGTGTGAACCATGTTATTATAAAGTTCACAATGTGTGTACCATGCTATTATAAAGTTCACAATGTGTGTGCCATATTATTATTAAGTTCACAATGTGTGTGCCATATTATTATTAAGCTCACAATATGTGTGCCATGCTATTATAAAGTTCACAATGTGTGTACCATGTTATTATAAAGTTCACAATGTGTGTACCATGTTATTATAAAGTTCACAATGTGTGTGCCATATTATTATTAAGTTCACAATATGTGTGCCATGCTGTTATAAAGTTCACAATGTGTGTACCATGTTATTATAAAGTTCACAATGTGTGTACCATGCTGTTATAAAGTTCACAATGTGTGTACCATGCTGTTATAAAGTTCACAATGTGTGTGTCATATTATTATAAAGTTCACAATGTGTGTAACATGCTGTTATAAAGTTCACAATGTGTGTGCCATATTGTTATAAGGTTCATAATGTGTGTACCATGTTATTATAAAGTTCACAATGTGTGTGCATATTGTTATAAGGTTCATAATGTGTGTACCATGTTATTATCAAGTTCATAATGTGTGTGCCATGCTATAATAAGGCTATTAGCCACTGCATAGAGTACTGTGCAATACCCTGCAGTCCCTAATAGAGAGGAGCCCTGTCTGGTGTGTGACATGCAGTGTTTGAAGCTGGCTAGCTTAGTGTCAATAAGTGGCTTTCCCTGCCACAGCTTCACATGAGAGTGCCTTGTTTGCCAATTGCCATAGAAAGCCTAACACACCATGAAGACTGTCCAAACGCCCAGCCTTCCTCTATGGAGTCCAGTGCTTTGAAGTGGGGCAGTGGTCAGAGCAGGCTCTATAGCTGGACACAAGGCACCAGGAGAGGGAGCACCATTGATTTAAAGAGGACTAACTTGTTTCCTGGACTCTATACAAGGTCTGCTCATTGTCACTTATCTTTTTATCTTTTATATTTCCCATGGAATGATTCATGTCTGGCTGGCTTTGTGCTGAGCCTTCCTTTTCACAGGAAACTTCATTAGAGAGCTATAAGTTTCTCCCATTGATTAGAGCCTTCATTTAGAAGTGCTTTGCCCTCCTTGTGTTGCTTGTAGACAATCTGTTTGAAGGCAACTCTTTGCAAGCCCTGCTCACCCCTTACCACATCCAGCAGCACAAGGGTCGCAGCCATACACACTAACCTTTTGATGAAACTGCTATTGACATTTCGAGCACTCCCTTTAAACCCACGTTAAGCACTGCAATAAATAACACTCTGCAGCATATTAGCTGAGCAAATATTAAATAACACTGATGTGGATTTGCAAATATTTTGTTTAGGTTCAGTCTCACATTGGTTGTCATGTGTAGTCAATTAATTTCAAAGGGAGCCTTATGTCTTGTGTGGATTTAACCAAGCCATGGTTTACATTACGTGTGCCTTGCGATGCCTCTGCGGTTTATTTGGCCAGTAATTTAACTCTTTCACTGCAAGGCTGATGCACTATTTTTTATTTTTTTTACCATACTAAAGTTTGGGGGTTTTTTTTTTTTTATAACTCTTGGCAAAAAAAAATAAAAAATTAATTAAAAAAAATATGGAAAGCACACTGAAAAAGTAAATTTAACGAACTGCTGCAAATAGCACCTGGTTATGTTGACAGAGAAATGAAAATATTTGAAACCCTAAGTTTGATGCATCATTTACTTTCTGGTATGTTTTATTTTGATTATAGTATACTCTTCAATTAGGGTCACCTGCCTCATTTACAAAAAATAATTGTGGGGGGTGGGGGGTGGGGGGAAGCAGCCAAACAAATTGGCTATGTAGAAAACTCGATTATTATTTTTTTTATTTTTTTTTTTAGTACAGACGCTTTTTTAACCTCTTGAGCTTCAGTCTAGTGAGCACTGCCTTGACTATGGCCTCTGGCAGCAGAGGGGTTAATTCCTATAAATCGAATGGAGAACTCGGCCAGTAAATGATGCAATGCACGTTTTGTCCATCACCGATTCTAAATATTTGATTTGTTCCATACAACAGAAGCCAAAACACACAATGTTAGGGATTTGGATTTTTTTTTTCTTTATTTAAACAATATAAAAAAAACTGGATAGTAAACACAATGAATGCGCTTTTGTGCCGTTTGAATACTTAACTTTTAATTTAAACTGTTTGTTCCTCTTTCTTTTCGAGAGAGAGAAATGTAATATATTTTGAACTCACTGAACAATTTACAAAGACAAGTAACAGTAATATTCACTGTACTAGTATATAACTATATGTACACCATTTAACAAGCCAGCATCACCCTGCACAGAACACATGCACAAGGAATTCATTTCACATTTAACTGATTCAAGTAAAATATATATCTGTATATATATTTTATAGATTTCATTTTTCTGACCTCCGTGTTTTCTTTTTTCGTAAAAAAAAAAAAAAAAATATTAAAAGAAAAATCAAATAGAAAAATGCACAAGCTAACACCAACATTTCACCAAAAAAAGCAATATTACAGTCTTTGGTGTAAGCGCACTCTTGCAAAAACATATTCCAGTTTGAGGGGAGGAGGGGAAATAAATAAATTGAACCTGTACAAAATCACAGCATATTCACATACACTTTGTATAAACAATGACAAGGCTAGCACAATCGATCACAGCATACACAGATTTCTATACACCCTGGGGAAAGTTTCTATGTCTGGGTCTCTGAGCGTGAATTAGCAGTATTTAGTAGGATTGTATAATGTGGACACTGGTATAATATTATAGTCTGTCTGTTTGAGATATATGGGGCTGACAGCAAAAGGGTTGTGATAAGCGCCCTCATGGTAAATTGTAAATCCAGTATGATGGAAGAAACTGAAATGGTCTGATTTCGTTTTTATTATTAATATTTAATATTATTATTATTATTTCCACGCAGTAACTCATTGGAATGAGTCTGCAAAATATATTATAGGAATTTATTTTTTCATATTTAATAACATAACAGCATTTGTTTTCATGACAAAGGGAAACATTTGTTTCAAGAAAATTAACCCACTCAGCTCCGGGGTTTGCTTTAAGCAAGCGATTCACACACCACTGACAGGTAAAGAGTTAATAGCAACCAATAGTATACTCATTGTACCCAAAGCTGGGAAAGTGGCAGTGTGAATTAAATATTTTCAGGATCCCCATTTGTTAAATGATGCCTATCATATCTATACACATCCTGCTAATTTGCATTTTAATAATAACCATGAATTTTGTGGGGTTTTTTTTTCTTTCTTTTTTTCTACCGGGACATTTAAAATAGTGATTGAGACAGATCTTATTTCATGGAAAAACAATCGAAACCATGTAAACATACCCGGATGACAGTTAACTGAAAAGTCAAGCATTATAATTGTTAAAAAATAATAATAATAATAATAATTATTATTTTAAAAAAATGTTGCTGTTGGTGTGTGCACTGAATCTTATATCACTTGAATAATCTGTAGTCTGGACACGATTTAATGCATAATTTGACAATATATGCCGAGTTAATTGTTCCCACTAATTTCCATCACAGCTTGTAATTGTTTTTTAAACGAGGTTAAAATACAGTTAAGGAACTTTATGAAAATAATGAAAAACAAACTGCCTTTATAAGTGAAATCTGCTTCGGATTTGACTTCCATTATCAATCAGAAAGATAACTAAAACCTATTGGATTTTTGTGTTTGTTTGTTTTTTTGTTTGCTTGTTTAACATCTGATGTAGAATATTACATTTAATGCGCACACCAGATCAGATTTACAAAACAATATTTAGACACACAAAGAGGTGGTATTTATTTTACAATAATAAATTACTTATCAAAATGAAATGGAAAAAATATACAACAAAACAGGTTTCAAGTCAATATAAAAAATAATGGTCCCACTGATACAAACTGAATCACATTTTAGCCTGCAGACCTACCTACTGGGAACAAAATTCAGTGTAGGAGTGGCTTAAATTAACTATATTATAAAATTCAGAACAGTTTTGGAATGGGAGATAATATAGAGGGGTAGGAAATAGGTGTGCTACAAAGTCAATATTAAGCTCCTGTTCAACAGGTGGGGTATTTTCTTAAAATTGGGCCATTATAGCATGTTGTCCCATTAAGCTGAGGTCCCAGTCTAATTTCAGGTCTCTGATGTTCACCTGCAAAGGGGGTAGTGTCACTTTTACTAGTATCCAGTTTGGGCAAAGGTCATTGTTCATAAAAATATACAAAACATAAAATAAATAAATAAACATTACATTGGCAGTGAACGATGAACTGTTTATTTTCATAGAAATTGCTGGGCATCTATCCCAGAAACAATCAATTTGTCCAGCGTGGCATTTCATTGCTAGGTTTATGAAGCATAGTGACATTTTGTGTTTTTTTTCAAGTCTGTGTACACCATAGGGTTTGCATGAAAACACTGCAACCCTCTCCCTCATAAAAAAAAAATATATATTAATAAAAATAAAAAGTTTAAAAAAACAAACAAACCCGCAACATTTGTTCCTCCAGTCCATCTGCCAAGAAGCTTGGATAAACACCAATAAGCTGCCTTCATTGTATGTACTGGTGGTTGTTCTAGTGTATAGTCCTCTCAGAGTTCCTGTAAGACCCCTCATCCTCAGAATCCGAGGAGTCCCCATTGCTGGAAGGGGTGTGCAGGTTATTTTGGGCCCCACTGGCCTGACAGACGTACCATTCATTGAGGTTGGTCACTTGGGGAGACAGGTTAGCAGATCTCCCCCTGACCTGGTCCTGAGAAGGGGACAGAGGGTCTTCTAAAGGAGTCCCTACAGCAGGGTATCCGATAGAGGTAGGGGAGCCCGGGGGGGACTTGCAGTGTATTTTCATGTGCTTCCTCAGGGAGCTGGGGTGGGTGTAGGACTTGTCACAGCCTCTCACTTTACAGTAGTAAGGCTTGTCACTGGTGTGCACGTGGGAATGCTTCTTCCTGTCACTGCTGTTGGCAAACTTCCTGTCACATCCATCAAACTCACACTTAAAGGGTTTCTCTCCTACAGAAAATGAAAGAGGTATATGTTATTAGTTTAATGTTATCAGAAAAAAAAATGCAACATATATCATATAATCAGGCACCATTGTGTGTATTATGTGTCATTCCTCTTTTATAATAAAAAATATATATATAATATAATGAGGCAGCATTGTGTGTTTGTATCCCTTATTATATTATAATACCCACACGTTTTTTTTATTTATTTAGCTTAATTTGGCATTGTTGTCCTAAAATGTGCGTTTCCCTTGTTAAGTCTCTACTACTCCCGGTTCTGCATATAGCACAGTAAATATAAGCCGGTGACACATAAAAAAATATCTATTGTGTCTGTTGACATGGCACAATAATGTGTGTACACTTTGATGCCTAAATATATTCGGTTTTAATTAAAAAGGAATTGGAGGTGTAAAGGTGACAGGGACATCTTAATCTCAGGTTCATTGTCCTAATGTAATTGCAAAAGACAGTAATAAAATGGATAGATCACTGCTAGGGCCCTATCTGCTTACCTGGGGCAATGCTATGTCTAGCAATCTCTAGCAAATCTATTATAATAGGTTTCCGAATTACTTAACAGCTACAGAGCTTGTGAAGACCAGCCTGGGGCTGTGTTATCTACATTGCCTTAGGTTTAGACGGTGTCCTGCAATTCAGTATTTATTGTTGTAGTACGCCATCTAAATATTACATGAAATACTACTTTATTTTAAAGGCTAGGCCTCATAAAAATAAAATCGATTAAATAGCCCTGAAAGGCAGGGATATATCACCGATTAATCGCTATTTTACTTAAATAAAAAATATCTGAAAATACCATCATGGAAATTATCTGTATGTCTGTCTGTATGTCTGTCCAATATAACATATAAAATACGTTTAGCAGTAGCTATTTTAATTTTTTTTTAGCAACATATTTAAATTCCATCTGTCTGTCTAGCTCTACCATAAATTCTATAATGCATTTACATATTTTAATCCACATATTACTCTAATATTTATCGATGTAAAATGAATAAATCAGCAATCTGTATTTTTGTAGCTAGGAATATTGTATTAATAAACTGTATATCTCTGTGGAATGTCCAGTACTTTGAGTAACATTAGGGAATGAATGAAAAATAAAATCCTATCCATCAGGCGAAGAGAGAATTGTACAGCTTAGCTGTTAAATCTGCTTGTGGCCACTAACACAGTCCAGATCATGGCAATGCTTCCTCTCTGGGTGCTAGTGTGTTATCTGTCAGCTCAGATACTACAGGCCAGACTGTTAACAATTTACTACACATGGGATGGATTATCTTACAGCAAGATATATTAGATCTGGGTGCCACACGCTTCAAGTATCATATACTGAAGGGTGTTTGACAGATGACTGGCGCCAAAAGCACAGAATCTAAGCTAGTTCCGTAGCCTTGCTGTAATATTATGATTCCTAGAATTTTTTTTCTTTTTCTTTTTAAAATAGTCAAGGGGGGTGGGGGAAACCCACACATAATCAGCGGCCTGCATTTCAGATTGAGTTACAAGAAATAAAGGATTTAAAAGGTTACAATAGCTGGTACTACTGTCACAGAGGACATTTATATCGCTGACGCACAGCAGCACAATATTAATATTCACTCTGGCAGCAATATATCCTCGTCAGTCACTGCTACACCACACACAGAGCTAAGATAACACCAGATCTGTCACTAATTATCTCTCTCATGTCTATCACTCACTGACACAGTGTCATAACCACCAGTCTTAGTACATCCACACCTATCGCATGACCAAAGCACTGGCATCATTATCACTAGTGCAAGCATGTTACTTTCACCATACATCTATCTCTAGAAATGGTAATCTTACCAAGACTTAACAAAAACAATAATACGTGTAGATTGCTATCTCTATTGTAAGTGTAGACCATTAGTTAATACCCCGATTTCAATTACTAATACATTTTCCTTAATTTTATTGATGAGTAATGATCTATTTCAAATACTAAGAAAAATCCATGACCTAGTAATAGGAACGTATCTCACTAGAACACACACTGTTCCTACTTTAATTCTGCCTAGGATGTCCTCTCTTCTGTAGGCCCAGAGTGAAAGATCTAGATCTTAAGATTCCACCGTGAGACAAAGATAGGTCCAGTCACCCTGTGTCACCTATACTGTCAACTACTCTGCCACCTCTGTAAGGTGGCCAATGTCCTGGTCACTGTGGGCTATAAGCAGCATGTTTTAAATGTTGCATTGAGGCCTTGTCAGCCAGAAGCCAGGAGCCCATTGCTGGGAAAGCACCCCTGTTAGACTGGAGGAGGTTGTTTATGGAGCTAGTAGTGTTCTCTTCAGGACTTGGAAAATAATGGGGAATTGTTATAGTTGAATTTATATTTTGAGCCTATTATATATTTATATAATATATGTTTGATTTCTAAGAAATGCTGATCTGACTTGTTTATCATGGCATTTTCTATGAATTTAAACCATGCTGCATTATTTCAGGTGTTGTGGACATTGCGTTTCAGGAGAGGAGAGTATTGAGGACATTGGCTGGAGGTTGGAGTATTTGGGTTGAGGACTAGGGAGAGAGCTTTAATTGGTTGGGGGAACGAAGGAAGATTGCCCGATTAAAGAAATTGAGGATATTAATGTTCAGAAAGAATTGGCACTGATTACCTGGGGGCGTGTTGTGCCCATTAACTGGCTATGGAAGTGTTTGGGAAAATTATCTAACTGAGCTGATGTTGGGGACATTAAATGACTCAGTAGACTAAAATGGGCATTTATAGGCTATATTGTATATAGGGGAGATATTGGATACCAGGGAATACTTTAATACATTTGTAAAAGCCAGATTTAACCGAGATCGTCTGTGTGTGTACACACCATTACTAATACATTATAAATATATCAATAATAATAATAAATCGAAGACAGAAAGACAGAATGTCAATGTAAATACATAATTGCTACAACTCTAAGACATTCAGATGCATTATTATATATTACTTACAATACTCCCATATAATCAGGTAGCTTATTTTAGCTGGTAAAATGCATACATGTATTACATGTCCTACGTTTTGTTCACAAGTCCCATTTCTCAATCACTTCCCATTTTGACTAACATACAACCTCTCCACTAAAGCATCCACTCTCCGTTTATACTGATTATGTGAGTCACACCTTCTAATACCATCAACACACTGCTACTTACTAATGCATCCAGTGACTGTAATATGTCCATCCCTATACTCAGACATACATTCACTGTGTCACTCCTACTTAATCATATAACCCACCTCTTCTCTCTAAAAGATCTATGGCCCCTTGCATTTTTGAACCAACTATTCTAAAATCTTCACTTCTACCAATAAAGTAGTAAAGGAATTGTCCCTTGATACATCACTAGCTCTGCTCATTGCTGTATAATTATTAGGGGCCAGGTCACTGATAACCCTCAGCAAACGTTTACATATTCAATGCTGTATTCTCCTCGCTATTTTACTCTATCACCCAGTATGCCATTTATATACATTTCCCTTAACACATTTACTAACAGCAGAACATCCGAATTCTATCGACTGATATGCTTCTGTCCCTAGTAAATTCTCACTTTTTAGAGCATCTCTGTCAGGCCACCAAAACACCCCACTACTTTGAACTCTACATTTAATATGCTATTCACTATTACATCTCAGTGTGTACAATAAGCCCTTGCAGCCTTTCCAATGAAACAGACCAAGTGCTCTGACTTCATGAACTCTCTCAGCAAAATATAGTGAACAAACACTCTTCCAGAGCTATCCAGCCAGCTATATAGCTCCAATAGCCTAAGCCATGGCGTAAACACATTATCAGTTTAACAAACAAAATATCACAAATGGTATCACTCAAATGTAGCCTAATGTAGCAATAACAGTCTCTAACCAAAATGTTAAATATATACTTAATACATGCACCAATCTTAAATAATTCTCTAGAATTGTAGCTGCAAGTGAACATTCGCCATATGACTTCTAGAAGACTCAAAGAAAATATTAATCTTCCATCGTCTATCCTCTATAAATAAATTAAAAAAAAAAAAGTAGATTAAAAATAGGGAGCCCTTGTAAGGAACAAATATATGAAAATTCACATATTTAAAATGATTACTTCTGAGGAGCCAGATCTAAAATGCACTAAGCATTACATTTCATCAGGTTTATTCTCCAGAGAGAGAATTCAAACGAAATCCAATGTGAATTTAAATGTAATGGTCAAAATTGCCGGAGAGGGAAAATTCCCAAACAGGGTTATTGACTGAAGTGAGAATCCACAGTGAATTTCAAACTTGCCAAAGTTTGGCTATTTTAATCCCAGCTATGCTTTCAACTCGGCTACTTTGGCCTTAGAATTGAAATTCACTTCAATTAACTTTGAATGTTCCCTTTTGCAAATAACCCTGCGCATGTCAGGTCTTCAAATAAGTGTCTTTATACATAATGTTATTCATATCCAGAGTACTCAATATGTGCCCACTTCTACTACCGGTAAGTCTTATTTACTCTACCACACAGCCTCTGCAAGTTTTTAAGTTGGCAAATGTATGCTTATAATTAAAGCAGTACCCATTAAATATACTGCTGCTCCCACGCCAGTAGTACATATCGCTTCGAGAGTAACCACTAAGTCAGTTTAATTACCCCCATTCATTCATAGATGGCATTTACCCACAGTACACATCTACCTGTACCCATACCCACGGAGCCGCCACTCAAATTATCAACACATTAATCCCCAGAATAATGTGTGAAGGACGACCGTCTGTGTGCACTGATTTAACCCCAGCAGCGCCAGCAACACAGATTCCTCAGTACATACACATATACTATCAGTAGTAGCTGTCTAAGTAACATTCAATAATTTAACCATAGGGCCTTGCTTCCAGGATAAACCTTTCGGTAGGTTATATGGATATTGCTGTGAATATAGAACTTTGCACCCCAGTTCCATCAGTTTCAGTTTTTGAAATATGGTTTATATTTTAATGTAAACAGATAATTCCCCATCTCCTAGCCAATGACATACCTAATGTGATAACTAACCTTGTCATCAATAACATTGATGGACTCTAATATACTGTCAGCAGTAACTAAACAGTCGATAGTAACCACAACCATACCCCCTAGTGGCAACAACTGATATACCTCTAGCAGTAAATGGCACCTAGTCAGCACTAACCTCAGATACTTCCTACTGGCAGCCATAGACCTTACCCGTGGCTATTCAGACTGATGCACAGCATAGTATATAAACTTGTGTCGCTACAGACAAATTGAGCAAACAATGTGTATTTTGCCATAAAACTAATCCATTAATCTCCACCGCAGAAACGTGTACTGTATGGATGACTCTCTTAGGAGAGCCCAAAGAGGACGTAAGTCATAAAATGAATACTGACTGATTTGCAAACACTCACAAAAACACTGCAACAAATAGGATTGTTAGAAAACTAATGGGATTAAAAAGCTACATTTAAATATATATATATATATATATATATATGTAGTAAATTACCAAATGCTGAGGAATAAAAAAAATAAAAAAATAAAAAAAAAACACTAAAACATAATTTCAGTGAACAGTCCCCTAAATCCACTAATTAATTCTCAAAAATTGCAACTAGCAGAATTTACTGATGTGTCTAGTAATATTTATGGTTCATGGCCTACATGTGAGAAGTAAAGGCAGAATTAAAAAAGAGGGAGATAGAGAAAGAGATATTTCTTAGTAGTTTGCATTAGAAAATTACTGCATTTTACAATATTAAAGGCCAGAGTTAAAAAAATAAATTAAAAAAAGAGCTTATGGCCAAACTAGATAAATCCATTAAAAGTATATGGCAGGAATAATACATTGAACGTATATAGCAGGAATGATACCTTAAACGTATGTAGCAGGAATAATACATTGAAAGTATATAGCAGGAATGATACATTAAAAGTATGCAGCAGGAATAATACATTAATATATATACATATATCAGGAATTAATAAGCTATACATATATCTAGTATATATATATATAAATATATATATACACTCAAACGTGGTTGATATATTATATAATATAATGCAAATTGAACTAGAAATGTGAGACAACATATTTATTTTTTGTTTGTTTCACACACTTAACAGAACCTGTGATGGTGTTAAGTACATGTGTGCTTACATGCTAGTGCACCTAATGTAATCAGGATGAGAACACATGTGGCAGATCTGTAAGAGCATATACTGAGCTAGTAGCACCCAATAGTAAATATTTACAGTGGCTAATTCCCAGGGCAATGTCCTGAATGGGCTGCACAGTACTGTGATGGTTCTTGCATTTCAAAGGGACTTTTCAGCCTTTTGTCTCCCTTCTGAGTGACCATTCCCACCAAAATCCTTTTCATTGACATTCAATCTATGATGTGATAGCTTGGAAACTTCCCCTCCACCAACAAAATCCTATCAATACACACTATAAATTGGAAGCAGTTTTGTATTTGCCTTCAGCAGAGATATCCTCCATCAATCGATTGGGAGTAGAAACTTGTGCTGTCACTAAATGACTTATTCATGAAATACAGTCACATGTGTGAGGGGACGTCTGCAGAACTAGGAGAGAGAGAGAGAGAGTGGGGGAGAGAGAGAGAGAGATGGAGTGAAAATAAATACCCACCTGTGTGAGTTCGTTTGTGAATTTTCAAGTTTTCAGAGCGAGCAAAGACCTTGCCACATCCAGGAAAGGGGCATGGGAAAGGTTTCTCTCCAGTGTGCACTCTGATGTGGTTAACCAGTTTGTATTTGGCTTTGAAAGGTTTTCCCTCCCTGGGACATTCCTCCCAGAAGCAGACATGGCTACTCTGCTCGGGGCCCCCAACGTGCTCCACCGTTACATGATTGACCAGTTCGTGCATGGTGCTGAAAGTTTTGGAGCACGGTTTCTTGGAGCTCTGCTCCTGATCGATCCATTTGCAGATTAGCTCCTGCTTGATGGGCTGCCTCATGTACCTGAAGAAGGCCCCCGCGGCGGCTGGGTGGGCGGCTGCTGCAGCCAGGTTGACATTTAAGTTCATAGAGTTGTAGCTGTGGATGGAGGAGGCTGCATAGTGCTCGGCTCTGAAGGGCTCAGCTCTTCCGTAAAGTTCTCCAGCCAAGCCAAGGCGCACCTGGCCGTTCAGGGGGTGGGGGACTCCTGGGGCCGCTTGCTCGTGGTGCAGACCGGTAGAGAGAGGGTGGCTGCCCCCCTCGGGGTGCCCATAGGTGCCAGTGGAGGAGATGAACATACTGTGTGGGTGGTGGGGGTGGTGGTGATGATGATGGGGGGAGCTGCTGGCCGGATGCTGCTCTCCTAACATGGCAGAGGTGGACAGCTCCCTCCTGAGGATAAAGTCCCGGCTACTAGTATAGCCAGGGTGGGAGGGGGCTACCGGGTAGCTGACTGTAGCCGACGAGGCAAAGGCAGCTGCAGTCTGAGCTTCGGGGTGAGCTGCCATGTGCTGAGAGGGACTAAGTTTCAGGGCACTGGCTTGGGCCATGTGCTCAGGTCCGAATGGAGTCAGGGCCACTCCAGGGTCACTCCCCAACTCCCCAGGGTGGAGGTGGGCAGGGTGGGAGTGAGCTTGATGACCCCCCAGCCCCGGGAAGCCTGTCATAGTCTGGTGAGGATGGGCTTGAGCCGCTGCCAAATCCGCTAACCTCAGAGTCTGACTCCTCTTGGTCAATGGGGGCTCCATGCCTACACCAGCCAGTCCATCCACACTCACTGCTGTTTGTTATTTTTCCCCCTTCTCTACCATCCTTCAAAAACCTGGGCAGATTAAGCGCTCTTTAACTTCTTTTGTCTGGCTCCCAACTCTGCCCATTCCTTTCCCCACTCTGTCCTCCAGCGATTGGCAGAACGCGCAGCATTGGAGGCGCGCAGTGGGGGCACAGAGTTTAGCAATGGCACAGCTAGGATTGGACGGGTTGCCAGGATTGGCAGGAGGCCCGCGTCTCTGATTGGCTGGCTGTCAGGCCGCCGCTCAGCGGGGATCCGCCCCCATGCTCTCAGCCTGCATTCCACTTCAGAAAGTTGCACTTGTAGAAAGTTTACTGAAGATCTAGATTCTAGAATGTAGAACAGATAGACAAGAGGCAGTGGGGAGCAGAATCATTCACATGGAGAGGAGGGGGAGGGGCGCTGCCGCCCTGATACACTGCTCACGTACAAGGTGTGACTATTAATTATTCACTTCTAGAGAATTGGCTGCATTGACTTTATAACAGAAACAAAACTATTTCAACTTTGGATGACTCAATGTATAAACATACATTAACTGAACATTTACTACCAAGCTGTGTGTAACGCTATAGGGTATTGGGAACCCGTGGGAAATTCTGTATTTATGTCGGCGATATTTACACCAGTGTTTTATTTATAGTTTATAAACTACAAGGAAATGAACAGGAAACGTATACAATCTCACTTATCATCTAATTAATACACATGGTGGTTAATAACTAAACAGTGAAATGTGATGATTCAGGGAATGTTAACACGTTATCAAAATAACAAGTTTGAAAAAAAATAATCCTGTAAATTTTGTAATTGTCCACACGATACTATTAACCGTTTAGTGAATAACCCCCCAAAATACAAGAACGTGTACCCCTACCCCCTCAAGCTGGCATGGGAGTGTATAACGTTATTTCACGTGTAAGTAAAATAGAATAAGATACACCACATTGCCATCTAGCTATAACAATGTGATAAATATATTTGCACACTTACTAAATTGGCTTATTAAAAGAGGTCTAGCCATTAAGCAATGGGTTGTGTTTTACAATTGACCTAAACATTTTGAACAAGCAGAAAAAATATGTGGTTAGAATTTAAGATTTTTTTTTCCCCATCTATGCTATTTTACCATAAATTCAGTTTTCAGTTCAGTATAATTTGGTGTTTAGTGTATAATCGCCAGTTTTTAGAGAATTAGTGAGTAGGCCCCATAGTTGTCGAGTCAGGAATAGGTTTCCCAATTCCCCAAATCCTATCTATAGCAGAGATAATATGACAAATCAGTTAGATTATTTTCATCAAGAAAATTGTGTAAATCTGTCATCAGGATTATACATATGTAAATAGGACATCAGAGAAGTTATGAGATAATTTTGACACTTCTGGACTAAGTGAGGCCCTGTCTTATCTATATTTTCATGTACTCGGTGGACTAATTTTAGAAAAGGAAAGCTGCAATAGTGTATTTTAAATAAAACATTTTTAGTGGTTTAACAAGACTCTAGCCACCAAACATGAGATAGATAAGATGGGGAAAAAAACTGACTCACAAAATTTAGGACACACATATAAAAAGGAATCCACCTCAACTAAAATGCTTATCAGCTCTCCCTTTAATAGCTAGCACCCTTATTAAAGATCACATTGTCCTTAAAAAATATTACTGTAAATTTTCTGGCAAGTTTAGCTAGTTTTCAGCACCTTTGAACACGCTTCTAGGACACAAATTGTCCTGGAAGGTTGAGTAGGCGTATGTACATCAATGACTAGTCATGGAAAGTCAATTTCAGTTCAATATATCAGTAATAACGTCTGAAAAAGGTATTTTATAGATTCACTATTGTTCACACTCCATGCACACCATATATGACACTGTACACACACTGCAAACAATGTTTCTGCTCCCCTTATATTGCATTTGGTAGGATCATGAAACCGCATGTTGTGAATTGCAATATAATTGTGGAAGTCCTTGTAAATATATCGTTAGTTACTCTTCAGTGAAGAAAGTTTTTCGCATCAGTATAAGAAGTCCGGTGTCTTTGTTATGTATCTTGAATAATTGCGTTTTGATAAGAAAGATAAGAAAACTCCATCGGGTAAAAAATATATATATTTTGTGGTATCGACCCATTAAAATACTATATTCTGCACACACACACAAAAAAAAATAATAAAAAAAATCTAAACATTTTACTTACTCTACTGGCAACATTTAAGTCACAATCAACCTATATAAATCAGGCTTTTTAATCAGAAACACTAGTATTTTGTCTTTACCGTATTTTGTCTACTACTAAAATTATGACATATTGCAAAGTAGACAGACAATATTTCTTTAAAAAGATGTCTATTCACTAATCAGAGATTTGCTAAAAAAAAAAAATGCACAGTAGAATTGAATATTCTAGGCAAAAATTAACTTTGCTGGTAAAATAGTTGTAGAATACTAGTCGTTTGGCTATTTTGGCCTACAAATTTGCAATTCCCTTGTTAGTTCTTCACAATTTTTAAGTGAATTAATTTGAAATGAAAACAGCAATTGATATGTTAACTGCACTATTAGATAGATGTACTCTAACAATTAATGTTCAATGAGTCAATTATATTTTGTTTAGACTAATATGACATATGTGGCAACAAATATAGAGAAAAAAAAAAACCCTAATACAAATGATTACATAAATCAATTAAGCATAAACACTATATAGTAAAAACAAATGAACAAATAAATCAATTTAGTGTCCCTAGATACCCTCTTGGGAACATATGTCACTAGAGATGATTAGTTACAAGTGTTACAAACACATTAGCAGATACTGTAATGATGCCCCATATAGCTTTACACAGGGGTAAAGTTACTGCATGCATAGTGATTTATGGTTACACGGACCGAATTTCAACATTTAAGCTAAAGAACTGAGTTAGACATGTATATTTTTTTCCGATCATGGCTTTTATTTTGGTCTAAATTTTGAAAGTCGATTTTCAACTCACCACAACTTACCGTTTAGCGAACATACCCCATAGGGTTTATAAACAATGCTTTATTGCATTTAACACACTTCCTGGCGAGCACTTTTCTTTGAAACTGTTCTGTTCTATTGAGTTGCTAAAAATGTAACGGTTTAATGAAGAATGGGAAAGTTGTAAAATGAAATCATTGTATTACGGTGAGTGCTATGTCTCGCTCAACTCAACCCCTACACTACTAGTTAAACTTAGCATGCTGTGCCTATATCATCGATTTAATGGCTTTTAATGCAAAGAAATGCCATCAAATGTTTTGTTTGCCTTTTTTATTGCTAGAATAAAATGCAAGGGTTATTACATTCAATTTGTAGGGTGAATCTTTTCCCTGTATTCTCCCACACTGCCACACTATCAAAATGTAACAGTTTATCACGATAAGAATTGCATGCCTAACCTAACCAAACCAAACTCAGGTACTATCAGAATAGCTTTGCTAAAAAATAATAATAATAGTAGTTAAATATATGTATATGACAATAGTTAAATATATGTATATATATATATATAAACAGTTTTTCTGGTAGTATTCTGCTAATCAAAACTCGAAACTTTTGGAAAGCACTAATACCCACTGTATGAAATATGTATGCTTTCCATCTATCTATCTATCTATCTATCTTATACATTTGTATCTATCTATCTATCTATCTATCTATCTAGTCTTCTAATATACTATATAGAATTGGTAGCTAACAGACCCTGTTTGTATACTGAAATCTACAGCTCTCCACACATGGAATAGAATATAAATCCTAAACAATGTCAGGCCTTTAGGTAATTCGCTTTCCGCATTTAAAGGAGTTGTAAAGATGAATCAAATAGTGACAAGTTGACGGGTTTACGTGTCGAAGCAATATGTTTAACATATGTCCTCTTATTTATGAATGACAGCATAAATTGTCTCACAAACTCCCAGAAACCATTTGGAAACTTAATCAAAGTGGGGAGAAAGCAGCCTCTTCTTCCAACATAGTACCAGCTTTTTGGGATTTGCCCAGATTGTATATATATTGTGTGTAATATATGTACTGTACAAAGCTTACATCATTAAAAGTCCATTACTGTGTATTATTTCTATCTATCTATCTGTCTGTCTGTCTGTCTGTCTATCTATTTATCTATCTGTCTGTCTGTCTATTTTGTATCTATGTCTATCTATTTGTCTGTCTGTCTTATCTGTCTTTCTGTTCACTGTACTACAATAAGATTGTTGTAGTAATATAGTGAGATAAATATAAAAACCTGATTACTAGGTATTTTAGTTCCAATTCTCCTGTGTAGAATGGTTTGTGTGGGTATATGCACACACAGACACACACATTTGTAAATGGGCAGTTTTTAAATAGCTGATATATATCTGGCTGACAGCAGGTGACATACAGACTTATGCGTTTCCCTAAGGGATGTGTTTTCATTGTATCCCACAGGGATATAGGAAGCCTAGAAATAAATATCCGACCTCTGGCAGCTAAGCAATGTATACTGACTGCTCTCTATATAAACTGGAAAATCTTGCAGGTTTGGGGCAGATTTTCACGATTTCCCTTGTCTTTCAAGCCCATGTTAGTAAAACTGACAAAGAGCTGTGTTATTATCTCCTGGTATGTTTTACACAGTAAGGCTATGCAGCAACATATGTGGTCTTCAATGGGTCAAGGGTCGAGTATCCCATGAATGACCCAAGGTCAACACAATCAAAGGTAACCTGTAACCCAATATCCTGTTGATGACCATGTTGACATTACGAGGGTCTGTCACACAGACAACGGTGCGATCTCTCCCTCTTTTCATCTCCATTTTAGGATAATATATAACACATTGCGAGAGCAATAGAAATGTATGTATAATAAATACCATGCCTTGGAGAACAAAGTAATCCAAAAACTTGAAATTATATGTATCACTCATCACAAACAACATGATGCCTCGGATACTTATGGTTCTAATTTAAAAGTGAATAAATTATCTGGCTTTAATGAAATTGCTTTATCTTATGATAAACACATATTAATACAACCTGCTTGGGTTTTATTGGCTGTATTGGGGTCTATTCACTAAACAGCGTGTTATCGTGTCTAGACAGTGGGTAGAAAAAAAAAACAGACTAAAATAGATGAGTTCAGAAACTAGATTCAGTGCAACCTAAATGGAAATTTCTTCCAACTAGGATATTTCGACCTAAATGTTGCTAGCTGTCTATTTACTGTAAATAAACCCCAGTGCTAACACCAAATTCACATTCCTTTTTCTTGAAATTAAAATGATGAAAGCTCTTTCAACTTTTAGGAAATACAAATACTATTTAAGGCTTTTTTTTCCCCAAGAAAAGGTGCAATATTATCCCTTTAATGGAATAAAATTAGAATACAAATTAAAGTCTTTGCCGAATTTTAAAGATTGCCCAATTCACCTACGGTTACAGCTTGATTTATTTCGAACTTGATTTTGTTACCACGCTCAATTAATCACAAATCGTGGTTTAGTGAATAACTGTCCTGGAAGTCTAGAACAATTAAGAGTCTATTCACTCAATAGCGAATTCTCAGAGATGTTAAAAATGATTTGCAAACAATGGAAGCCAAAATAGGTGATTTGAGGGGAAAAAAATCTCAAACCCAGTTTTAGTCACAGCTTGATTGTTTCAGCTTAAATTTTGCAATTCGTTTTTCAATTCACTATAATTTGCTGTTTAGTGAATTTGCTGTTCTGTGGGCTACTACAAATTATATTTATCGTACTTCTAGATAATAATGTTGTAAAGGAAAAACCCTAAGGCAAACAACTAGTAAGAAAAAAAGTACAAAATTGTTACCCTTTCAGACTCTCTCTGGATCTGCAGATCTGTAACTACCTGGACTCCAAGATAGCTGAGAAGAACTGAGTCATGAAAAAAAAAATTAGGAGTTTAACGCCAGCTTTCTCCTTTAAACAAAAACAGCTTAAGCCTGCATTTCTGGCATTGGCCCTACAAGTGATTGCAGTCTCCTTTCTCTTCCCTTTTCACCCTGTGACATGGGGAAAGGGGTTTTGTGGTTTGGAGAGAAATAAAGCACTTCTAACAGGGACGGCAAAAGTGACTTTGAACTTGGATCGGCTTGTATGTTTCCTGCAGAGAGAGTAGGACTAGAGCCGTGGAAGAATAGCACATACAGGCCAGCCTGCGGGGTCTCAGGCTGCAATTAAGGAATTCACCCTAAACTTTAGCTCTGAAGCCTCCTGAAGCGGCACACACAACACACATAGAGAGGGGTGATGTGGGAAAAGCAGCAAGCAAAGAAAGGAAGGGACAGAGGAGAAAGGAGCAGGAAGAAAGACAGAGCTTAGCCTGAGAGGTAAGCATTTCTCACTTGGGAACAAGGGCTATGGGAGGTATTCAATATATAAAGCCTGCTTTCTACACACAATGATATGTAGGATAGGATAGATAGACATACAGATGGATGGATAGATAGACAGACAGATAGATAGATAGATAGATAGATAGATAGATAGATAGATAGATACAAATGTATATTATAGATAGATAGGTAGGTACATTTATTGATTAGACAATTATAGAGGAATATAAAGAATGCATTTTTATACAGGAATAGTGTTGTGTTAATTGAGATGTTATGAGATAAATTAAATGGTATTAGCTTTAGGGTAGTCAATAAGCCCTCTGTTGCCCCGGGGTGGTATGAAGCCTAGCCGTATTGGGCACAGGGGGCAGACTATGTAAGATCAGATAAGGCCCCCTTCACTTTCTCCTTATACAAGGCGGTTCTCCCCCTGCTTGGATTGCTCTTGTGGACAGACGTTTAATTGTTTATGTGCCTCTAGCTTTGGAAACAAACAGTAATTAGCGAGAGGTGCTGATTATGTCTTTATGTACAGATCAATGTCTCCCTATTATCAAGGGCAAACATATCTGTGTATGTATCTGCCTGTTGATCCCATGCCCTCCTCCAGGCCTGGGTGCATGCAGACACTGTGCCAGTTTAGAAGCAGTGGGCACAGCTCTCACTGGGGTTCAGTTCCAGTCCATGCCCCATGTCTGCATAATAACCAGGCCCCAGAAACACTGGCCTTGGACTGCCATGAAAACCCTATTCAGTTTACCCCTAAAGAAATAAAGAAATAGCAGAGCTTGTGACAGCACCCAGAGCCAGCGATCAATGTATCAGTGTATCAATGTTTGTAAATAGTGCATTCTCCTATCTCCAAAACTCCATCCTTGCTACCTTCACTGAACGTCTAATGCTTTCTATATACCAGAAAACAACAGATCAGAGATTGACAGCTACATCCAGGCAGACACATAGACTAATTCTACAGCAAAGTAGACCGGTGAAATTACATGTGTTTTATTCGCTTACATAGATTGTATTCATGTATTTATATACACACACATACATTCATTCATTCAATAAATATACCAATATATGAATGTATTTCTCCCTGAAAGGCTTTTGGCTTAATATTAACTCAAATTACGGCTCAATGTGTAAAATGCACGAAATTTGATTAATATATTAAACAATATAAATTATAATGATTTGTATTTAATTGTATAAAAGCATTTACACTTCAGAAGCGATAAGGATGGAAAGCCCTATACACTGTATACCTCCTCAATAGTATTCATGTGCTTTATTAGGAAAATCTCATTCTGGTACAATGTACCAAATACCCTAAAATTAAATCAACACGTTTATTTCCACTTAATCCCTGACAGAATTATTTAAAGAATGATTATTAACAATAAATAAGCTATAACGAAGTAAATGAGCGGGGCTTAGCACAGCAATCCATTATATCACAAGTCTCGGTGACTAGCAGTCTGTAGGGGATAAGTGGTCATGTTTAGTAAATATCCATGAATTCTACGTGGAGTAGAATGAATTATTCTGTATTCACTATAATTAATTAGAGTTAATATGAGGTAAAAGCTGATGTTTATAAAGGATAAGTTAATATTAAGGTTTTGTTTTATTACAAAACAGACACATCTTGAATCTTGACATAAAATGGGGCTATGCTACCTATTGACATTGACATTGTGTGTTTATGCCTGATGCACGTTTTTAGTTTTTTTAAAAAAAAATAAATGCATTCAACTGTATTTTTACTGCGTTCTGTTTTTATTAATTATTTTTTTTCAGTTAAAGGTTAGTTTAGCGAAATGTAATTAATTTGTATACTGTAGTTTATACTGTATATGGTTTAAAGCCTATGCCATTCTTTTGTTATGTATCCACAATAATGATCAAGGGACCATATCATGCATTTGTAATTTAACTTCTTACAAGTGTGTATTGGGTGCATCATTTTTTTTTTCACTGTACCACTGTGATTCCAACCTGGAAAATGGTCATTTCTGGTTAACCCACTCACACAGACATACAGCTAGTCACAAACACGCACGATGTCATGCCACACAGTGAGGCTTGTCCATTCTCCCATTCAGCCCTGCAGAAGGTGCTATTATTTTGCACAGTTCTATGCCTGGTGCTGGGCAATGGGCAGCTCTCTTGGATTAAGCTGCAGCCACAGGGGTGGGAGCGTTGGGCGGGGAGGGGCAGCCGGCCTGATTGTCAGGCTGATTGGGGAGATTGCCTGCAAACCCAGCAGCCAATAGGATGACGTCCTGTGCGTGAGCGGGCAGCTGTTAAAGGGGCGGTGGGGGAGAAGGGCCGCCAGTCCAGTCACAGAGTAGACAAGACAGCAGAAGGAGGGGTTGTGATAAGGGTGACTGGGAAAATAAAAATCCGCTACAGGAAAAAAAAAAAAAATTCAAAAAAAAATCCTCAAAACATAAAATCACCACCACAAAAACAAAAGCCCCTTCTAACGAAAACCGCTGAAAAGGACAGTAAAGCAAACAAAAGCCACGGGAAAGAGGAGATCTGCTGGAAGGACAATGAGGAGTCCAAGATTCTAGAACTCTGTAGCAGGATTACTGACTTGTTTGCAGTTGCTCCATGCTCTGTGATATCACTTTTCTTTTATGGTTGTTTGTTGTGTGTGTTTTTTTTGTTTTTTTTTGGATTTCCACTACCACCTTCTCCCCTCTTCTCTCCCCCACCCTTACCAAGCTTCCTCCAAACACTCCTCCCTCCCTCCCCTCCTCCCACTACCCAAAGCAGCAACTTAAAGAAAGAAGAAGCGGAGAGAGAGGAGCATCTGCCGCCCGATCCTTCATCTGGGGGGAATCTGAGCTCAGTCCCCCGACCGAGAGCGACCGTGAGCGGGGAGAGCTGTGTGAGAGGAGGGGTGATATCTGGACACCTCTTCTGAGCAGGTCTCATTGAACCCTATCAGGACCATTCACTGACTGGCGGACTCTGTTTTAACGTTGTTTTATGGTCTGTACCAGGATATATCTATAGAACAGACTGGACTTGTCACTTTTTATTCTATTTTATCACCTTTTTTTTCGTTTAATTTTATGTAAATTTTTGAATTCTTATTTTTTTGCTGTTGACGTACATGCCCCTAGGAGAGCTTCTTCCAAGTGTTGCCATCTGCAGTAGTTTGCTCCAAGACGCCGCCCGCTATCCCGGCTTACCGGCCTGATTGTGCCGCAGAGATCTGACGCTATTCGGACATGTTGCTGGACGCTGGTCCCCAGTTCCCAGCTCTCGGTGTGGGCACCTTTGCCCGGCACCACCACCATCACCACCACCATGCCGCAGTGGCAGCCGCAGCTGCAGCGGCCGCAGAGATGCAGGAGAGGGAGCTGAGTTTGGCGCAAAACAGCTTCGTGGAGCCGGCGCACATGGGCGCCTTCAAGCTGAATCCCGGAGGGGGCTCTGGGGGAGGCGGAGGGGGAGGCAGCGGGGGAGCCGGGGCACCCGTAGGCTCCGGGGCCAATGGACCCCACGATTTGTCCCCCCCGGGGCAGGGCTCGGCTTTCACCTCCCAGGCCGGGTACCCCGCCTCAGCCCTGGCCCCCCATGCTGCATACACCGGGCCAGCCTTCAACAGCCCCCGGGACTTCTTGTTCCGCGGCCGGGGGTTCGCAGAGGGTGCCGGGGCAGCGGGAGGGGGTCAGCACGGCTTGTTTGGGCCCCCAGCCAGCAGCCTGCACCACCACCCCCATCACCACCAGCTGTCCCACGGAGAGCACCCCCAGAGCCACCTGCTGTTCCCCGGGATCCACGAGCAACATGCAGCCGCTACACAGAGCCCCCTGGGCGGCCAGATGAGGCTGGGTCTGCCTGGGGAGGTGTTCGGCAGGACTGAGCAGTATCGGCAGGTCACCAGCCCCAGGGGGGACCCCTACACCGCAGCCCAGCTCCACAACCAGTACGGCCCCATGAACATGGGCATGAACATGGCTGCCCACCACCATCACCACCACCACCACCACCCGGGGGCCTTCTTCAGGTACATGAGGCAACAGTGCATCAAGCAGGAGCTCATCTGCAAGTGGATTGACCCCGAGCAGCTCAGTAACCCCAAGAAAAGCTGCAACAAGACTTTTAGCACAATGCATGAGCTGGTCACCCATGTGTCTGTGGAGCATGTTGGGGGCCCCGAGCAGAGCAACCATATCTGCTTCTGGGAGGAGTGCACCAGAGAGGGCAAGCCCTTCAAAGCCAAATACAAACTGGTTAACCACATCAGAGTGCACACTGGAGAGAAACCTTTCCCATGCCCCTTTCCTGGATGTGGCAAGGTCTTTGCCAGGTCAGAAAACCTTAAAATCCACAAAAGGACTCACACAGGTAGGTGTCCTTCTATTGCCCTTTTCTAGGGGGGAGGAGGGAGGGGGTAGGGGAACACCAGCCTCAGAAATGTGAATGGTTTTTGTCTTACTCTCTTGGTAAAATGTCTGGCTTAATCTTCCATCTGCTTCTGGGCTACTCTATGTACCCCAAATATTCCCTGCTAAATGTCATGTGATGTGCTCTGCATGTATTTACATGACTGTAATGGACTCGGTGTTACAAGCCTGTTAGTGTTTGCTATTGTCTAAGTTCTTTGGAAAGAGCTCAGATGTTCAATTGTGACCGTTTAGTTTGACGTGTAGTTTTCCTAGTATTTAAAAATAAAGAAAAATGAATTTTAAAAAGACTTCCCAAAATAGCTCGATGTACTACTTGTTCATCTGCATCCAAACTTCAGCGTTAGTAGTGACATTACTTTATTACATTATGATGCACAATGTACCAAAAATTGATACATTGCCGCTAAGTTAAAATGCCACTGATTGTATTTTTATTGAGCTTACATCTTCCCAATTTTTATTCATTTTTTTTTTCTCTTCACTAACTAATAAAAAATAAAACATTTAAGACCCTTCCACATTTTTAGCACGGCAACTATAAATATTTGGGAGGATGTGAGGCCCACTTAATGGTGTGTGTGTGTTGGGACTGAATTCAGGTGCTAGACGAGATTTAACAAGGTTTAAAATTAAAAGCATTTCTTTGCACGGAAAGTCGGCATTAAACTCCTGTATGTGAACAGATGTCTCTTTTATAAACAATTTAGGTGCTAATGGAATTTAATGCTAAGTGGATTCCCTCCAAATGGAGGATATTTGAGTGATCACACCTCTAAATTGCTCCAAACAGCATAACATTTGGATATATGGTGACTGGGGGAAGGGACAGGCTGTGAAAAGCAAATGAATGCTTTTTAAATGTATTTGCCCCTTTTTTTCTTTACAAGCTGCTTGTTTACTCCACCTGTGTGAATAAGCCTAACAATCGTTCCTGACTAGTTTGCAAATGAACGACAATTTACATGTCTTTCCCCGGGGCACAGACAAAAAGCCATTAAAATCCAGCCTTGACAATGTTTCGTTTGGTTTTGTTGTGGGTTTTTTTTTGGGTCTTGAGAACCCGCTGCAATCTAGCTATGTGAATTCTCTAAAGTACGAATAGAATAGTTTAATTTAACGAAGACCGTAATTGGAACATTGCTTCTAGTGATCAGTTTGGTGGTAGCCATTGTTTTTCCCATGGATTGGTCTCATTATTTTTCTTTCCCTTGTATCCAGGAGAGAAGCCTTTCCAGTGCGAATTTGAAGGATGCGATAGACGCTTCGCTAACAGTAGCGATAGGAAGAAACACATGCATGTCCATACCTCGGACAAGCCCTATCTGTGCAAGATGTGTGACAAGTCCTACACCCACCCCAGCTCCCTGAGGAAGCATATGAAGGTAAGAAAGGTCGCAACACTTCCCTGCACGTTTGGCAGGCTGGACTGCTGAGAGTTTTAGTTAAAGCTGAATATATATATTTCTCATTTTTAGCCGCTTTTAATATTTGCTTTAAGTGGTTTTAATGTGTATCTATCTTTATAGAATTACACTGTGTATTTATCTACATCATCCAGAAATAAACGTCATGTTTGTTTTCCCACGAATAATGGACATTAATGACCATCAGGGCTTGTCAAAAATATTTTTCCTCCTTCGCTGTGTGCAGTTATACGTCGGTGGTTATAATTTTAATGCGCTGTGTGCACTAGTACCCTTTGCCTTACAATTTTTTATAATTTAAAAAAAAAAAAAAAAAATATTTTAAAGAAAAGTTTAAAAAATATATTTTCAAACAGTATGTCTGTGTAAAAACTGGTTCATGCATTGTCTAGTGAATAAATCTAAAAGTACGTACAGTACACAGACTGGTGAATTGAAAACCAAATTGCCAAATCGAGGCTAAAATAGACAAACTTTGACTAATTTGGGTAAACTTTCCAGATCGTGTATTTTTTTTTTTTCTTGCAATATGATTTAGATTTAGATTTGAATGCGCTGCAATTCTAAATTTACATCTATATATATATATATATATATATATATATATATATATATATATATATATATATATATATATATATTTTTTTTTTTATTCTACATTTTCCTCTTTAACACGTAGGAATTATTTTATTTCTGTGGTAATGGGTAGGCGTTTGGTTTATTTATTTTTCATCCCTAGATTGCCTTTTTAAATACATTTCTGATCACTAAATTTTTTTTTTTTTTTTTCCCTCTTTTCCATAGGTCCACGAGTCCTCTCCACAAGGCTCCGAGTCGTCACCCGCTGCCAGCTCTGGCTATGAGTCTTCAACTCCCCCAGGTCTGGTGTCCCCAAACACTGAAACACAGAGCACTAACCTGTCCCCAGCCAGCGCCGCAGTGAATGTTGTACACAGTGTATCCAATGGGCCTGGGGGAGCTCTATCTTCAAATTTCAATGAATGGTACGTCTAGGGGCCCTTGCATGGCTTCTTCAGGACTCTATAGGCCACCAGAGACATTGCAGGACTCACCACTGAGCAGATATAGACCCTGGGCTTGTAAGAGTTCTTTGGGGATTTGTGAAAAGCACACACATACACACACACCAGCAGAGTGCTAAAAAACACAATGTACAGTGACCAAGAGGATGCAGGAACAGAGCTCAAGCAAATGGTTATTTATCCCTCTTCCTTCTAAAATGAAAAGTCTGATTTGTAATCTAGCTACGTACCTACCTATCTACCCTAACATGTTCTCATTACATGAACATGGGTTGAAGTGACTTTAATCTGGACCTCTTGCAATGTATGTCTCATTCCTTTGTACATAGGACTCTGCATAACAAGGGATGGGTTTTCTTTCTTTAAAGACATCAATTGGGGGGAGGGGAGGTGGAAGAGTTAAAATTTCCCCTTTTTTATGTTTTTTTTTTTTTTTCCAATTTTTATTTTATTTTTTTATTGTGATCTTTACGTATTGTCCTACTTTTTTTTTTGTTTGTTTGTTTGTTTTTTTTTGTTTTGTTTTATTAACGAAACTTGATTGTAATTTTCATGCAGCTGGGCTGGGAAACAATAAAACTCTGTGCCAAAGTCTCTACTGTTTGTCTAAACTATAACAGGCGTTCACTTATACACCAGGCTCGTGAATGTACTTTATTTCTGTTAACTGGGGAGGGGAGGGGGTGTCCATGTGCTGTTTTTTGTGCTTTTTGCAAGTTCGATTTACTCTTAATGTTTAAAAAGACCGCTGGGAGGGGGAATGTAATCGTTGTGCAGTCTGCTTCTTCCCATAACATCAGCCTTTCTCCTGTAAATAGCCCTTTTACCATATTTATCCATTTGTAATTAAATTATGATATTAACTTACTACAGAGGAAACACTATTTATAAAGAATGTTTCTTAATTATAAATATGTACAATTTGTGAGCATAAATTGTTCCAGATTTTTTTTTAATTTAAAGTGGTTTCATCTTTTTTATTTTTTTTGTGACCTGTTTTAAGAGTAATGCATACACACCTATAATAAAATGTGTTGAAACTGCAAAGTCAGAATTTTTTTTATGTATGGATATATTCAAATTTTATCTTTGTGTTAAGGGCCACACTGCATTTAGAGGGCTTCTTTAAAAATAAGGATTGTTATACAGGTTTTTTTTTGGGGTGCAGAATTTGATTAGGCTCTTGGTAAAATAACTAAGCTATTTCAACTTCACCAGGAAGACCATGAGTAACTAGAACGAATTAAATCAATTTATTAAGGGACATAATTTGTAAAAATGCCACTCTTTTTACATAGGAGAGAACACAAGTCTTTTCCTTATCGTTTGCTGAAGTGCAGAACCTAGTTTTATAGTAGAGCTATGTTTGTGTTACAGCAGATTATTTGTGTGACCATTTCGACTACCACACATGACTGTACTCACAATGCAAAATAGTCTGCAATCATATCACTTGGACTTATTTCTACTTCCGAATCATAAAGGATCGGACCAAACGTCGAATTAAAATTTGAATTTTAAAACTCGTTAAACAAGCTGTGCCAAACTAGTTAATTGTTATAAAATGGGTTTTAGTGGCCTAAACGTCCCCATTCTGATTTTAAATTCTCTGCAACTCGCAGGCTTATTTACTAAACTCTAAAGTAGGCCATTATTTTATAGCATTGCGGGAATGTCCTTTTCTGAAATTGTGCTTTATATAGCAAACCCGGGCGGGTTTTGAATGAATGTTTTTCATTCTGACCAAAAATATGAGATCGCTATTTTATGTATCTATATACTATCACATAAATGTAGATTTATAAAGGCACGGTTTTCTCATGTCACAATGACTTGCATGACATTTTACATAATCATTTACTCTAAAGTATTTTATATTCCCGACTGTTGTAATAAGCTATCATTCAATAATATTTAAAGGTGACAAATTCCTGTCTGCTTTCTATCAATGCAAGGTTAAGCTGGTCCCTGTATAAAGTCAGTTATTGTGTACTATTCGTAGAAGGCATAGGAATTAGAATTATGTATTGGACACATTTTAGTCGTAGGATTGATCTTTCATCAATTTAACTTACTGATGTTCTGTGGTTTTGCCTATATCTATGGCTGGATGATTGTGTCTGTGTATATTTTGTGCTGTTCCTTATATATTTTATTATATAAATGTAAATATTGTTGCTAGAAATTCCTGTTCGCTAGTTTCTGTTGGGAATGTGGAGTTGGGAATACATAGAATGTAGTGAATTGGAGAGAGAATTCCTGGAGAGCCAGCGTGTTGAATGGCTGCTAGCACTATGTGTGCAAAGCATGGACTACTGTGACATACCCTGACCTGGGCAGGCTGGCGGTGACCTTGAACTTGCACGTGATGGCTGCAGTGTTCCAGGCAGAGCTCAGACCTGCTGTACCCACATCTCAGGACCAGCCACCAGCTGTGTGACCAGGAAGAAATCATTCAAATCAGCTTAATTGTGGCACGTTAATGCGTTTTTACGACATATTAAGTGAGTGGTTGTACTGCTTGTGACAGCCACATGGCAGAAATGTAGATATGGGTCTGTGCAGATACCGGCCTAACACAGCTGTTACTGTAACAAACGTATTGCCATCCAGGAATCAGTTTGTAGGCTGCTTCAGGATACTAAAATACTAAACAGCACCCAGCCACTGCAACTCCCCCACCCCCATATCGCAGCACCCAGCCACTGCAAACCCCCCACCCCCATATCCCAGCACCCAGCCACTGCAACTCCCCCACCCCTTATCGCAGCACCCAGCCACTGCAAATCCCCCACCCCATATCCCAGCACCCAGCCACTGCAAATCCCCCTCCTATCCCAGCCACTGCAACTCCCCCACCCCCTTATCGCAGCACCCAGCCAGTGTAAATCCCCCCCCATATCCCAGCACCCAACCACTGCAAATCCCGCCCTCCATATCCCAGCACCCAGCCAATGCAAGACACCCATATCCCAGCATCCAGCCACTGTAATCCCCCAGATCTCAGCACCCAGCTACTGCAACCCTCCATCCCAGCACCCAGCTACTGCAACCCTCCATCCCAGCACCTAGCCACTGCAATCCCCATATCCCAGCACCCAGCCACTGCAAATCCCCCCCCTCCATATCCCAGCACCCAGCCAATGCAAGACACCCATATCCCAGCACCCAGCCACTGTAACCCCCCATACCGGCACACAGCTTCTGCAACCCTCCATCCTAGCATCCTGTCGCTGCAACTCCCTCCGATATCTCAGCACCCTGCTACTGCAACCCCTCCATCCCAGCACACAGCCACTGCAGCCCCTATCTCAGCCACTGCAACAGCCTTTTGATGCAAACCAGCAGTCACTGCAAGAACCCCACTGATCGTATCACCCACCGCTACAAAACAAAAACACGGATTGATTACAGCACCACAGCAATGCAACTACTCATCCCAGCACCAAGCCTCTAATATCTAGCCAGTGTCACTGCTTCAGACTGCCAGGGAAATCGTACCCGCATAGCAACAGCCATCCAGCAATACCCTGCAGCCCTGATTGCAGCCAGAGCTAGAGCTGAATCCTGTGGCCCTCGGTACCACCGTGCAACTAGTGCCTCCTCACCAGGCATCTAGTCCCCTAGTACCCTAAACAGCGAGACAATCTGTCTGCAGTGAAATGATCATTTATACATTGTCTGAGGGAAATTCAAACAATGACTACATCAAATAATGTCATGTCTATTAATGGAAGTAGTTATTCTACGAATCTTTAAAAAAATGAATACAACATATATTTTTAACAATACAGATATATCACACAGTTCGAGAAACTAAGCTTTTTTTCTTCTTCATAAACGGCACCCTATGAGTGTTTAATTTTATAATGAAAAATATAATGGGAAGTTCAACATAATGTAATTATGGACATATTCTGCAATCATTTAGTATCATCTTAACAGATCTATATCGAGTTCACTATAAGTGAAAAATAAAGTAAACTATAATAAAATACTAGTATTTCGAATCTTTCAAATTTAAAGAGTATATACATGAGTGTGTATTTATCCATCTTTCTACCTCATCCATCCCCACTGTATTAACACTGAAGTGCCTGCAGCTTTGATCCTGAGCATGAGAGTATATTGAAGTAAGGTGACTGGATGGATGTGAGGCGAGAAAAAGTAAGGGGGCATATTGAACTTGATTAGTCTCATTCTGTCCACCATTTATCAAAACTATAAATCCAAATATTCATGTGATCTGTTCTCGTGTATTAAAAACAAAGCACATAAAGTCACACAGTAACACAATGTAATGCAAACCGCTATTCACTCCCATTATAACGAATAAACACAATTGTGTAATAAAATACATCACGTTAAATTTAAGAGAATGTAATATTTTATTGAAGCTCGTTAAAAGGAGCCGTATCGTGATTCTATATGTCATATAGAGGAATGTATTCAATACAGCCACACATAGCAACAATATTATTCTGCTTGTGAATAGAATATATGCACTAATCTCACAATTCCACCAGTGACTGGTATCCTGCGGTCATTTGTACTTGGGTCTTCTATTAGATTCTTGGAATCCTACAAAATGTATTTGGCTTTGAATTTAACCCTTGTGGTTGGAGAATTGTTATTTGATGCTGTTACTCCACCGGTTCTTACTTTTTATTGGATGAAACTCCCCATATCTTCTTCAACAGTATATTAATTATTTAAACACCAAGACTAAGCAATACCCTGCTGAGAGCGGTCACTAACATTCACCCCCCTGCAGAGCCAGATTCTAATGACTGGTATGTAAAGTTTAAAACAATACTAACATCTCAAGGGTTATGTTTTATAGATCACCTAGACGTTTTAAATACACTTCAGATGAGGTTTGTATAAAAATCATTAAATGGAAACCGTATATATTTAATAAGCTAGCTAATAATACACACGCTGTTATTAGCCACTGAATAATATATCTATTAATCTGCCAAATAATATTAGTTCTTGCAATTTACTGTACATTCCTTGGATTAAAATTGCACACACGCACATTCTAGTGGGACAGTAAATTAATTGATACAGGGATCCAGGCATCAGACAATTCTTAGACACACAGAACCAACCACTGGAGTCAGTTATAATTATGGGGATTGGGATCAGCACCATAGACAATTATTATGCAGATAGGGTAAAAGTTTACAAAAACTAAAATAAATTAAGTATATATATATTACATTATTTAAATGATTGTATGTATATATATATATATATATATATATATATATATATATATAAATAAAATAATTTTATATATATATTAATTATTAAAATTTCTATGCATTTATTTATTTATTTATTTATTTTTTAAATCTGTCTTTTGAGGTATGACGTCGGTGGACATTTTGCTGTTAGTTTCAAAGTCTGAACAGATGGCATTCTGAGAATTGGACATTATAGTCCAATCGATTTCAGATTCCCCCCACATCATAAACAAGCAAGTTCAGTTATATGTACATGGGAATAATACAATGTGTGCTTCAGGCACCTGCATGATATCCAAATGGTTAATACGTTCTATTTATAGTTTGCCATAAATGTGTTTATATAGACTTATAAATCGTATAAAATATGCCAGCACCCACCAATTTAGTCCAGATGCATTAGATTACAGTTTGACTCTGTGTAACTTCAGTAATTTATGCTGGGTGACTCCTTTTTTAGAATGTTGCTAATATAATTCATTTTCACCATTGCCTGTGTTTCAGTATTGTTGTGTTTTGCCTTTCCTTCAACCATCAAGCCTTGTCTTCTCCACCAGCTCAATGCTGCAGTTGGCTCTCTGAATTCCTGATGAAGACAGTATGACCTGTTTTTGATGAAGATTATGTG